GCTTCTTCTATCAGCTTCAGAGATCCCTCAAATAAATTTGTAAATGCATCCATGTTCAGCAAAATATATTCCTAGATTAATTTTTCATGTCACTAAATATTTAAATGATAAAATTCCTCAAAATTGATAGAGCCACGCTCACTCTCTATTGCTCATTCATTCTTCTGCCTTGTTTTCTAGAATTGGCCTGCTATAGATGTTTGATTAGTTTTGTAAAATTACGTAGATCTGATGATGATGATTGATGTACAATCAGTTAATAAAGGGTTTTCCGTTAAGGACTTGATAACTTTTTTTTTAAATAAAACTCAAAACATTTATGTATGGAATTCGACCTCGATCGATACGTTTAACCCAATTTTCAATAACTCGGCCACACATCTCTCGTTCAATATTGGCTCTGAGCTCCTCTAACGACGCAAAAACAAGTTAAAGGTGTTAAAACACACGATCTAGGCGGCCATCGATTTCAATATGTCGATTTCAATATGTCGATTGTGTCACCCGCTGTGTGGCTTGTGGCACCCTCGTGTTAAAACCACATATCCTTAATGTCTAGCCCATCCAGTTGAGCAAAAAACTAACGTTGCAACATGTCTCTGTACCTATCTTCGTCGACTGTAACGTGACGATCATTGTCATCAACAAAAAAAAACTGCCCATTTTTGTGGATGAAGTGGTGTTTCTTTGAGCACATGAGGGTTTTCACCATCACTGGAGATGATTTTGCAACGAAATTGGTCATTTTTTTGCAACACTTCTAGAGCCCAATTCGATTACGTACGTCGGTTCATACTATCGAAAGGCTTCAGTTCTTGAGTTAACTTCATCTTATAGGGGTGCAGGCCAAGATCTCTTCGCAAAGTTCGCCGTAGTGTGGTCTGAGCGATGCCCAATTCTTGAGAACGCCGTGGAATTGGAACGTTGTCTCGCTGGTACGGGAACATCCAGCAGCGAATATGTGGACTCACATGAATTACTTGTTTACTGGGACCAGAATTACAACCAAAAATTGGCACTAACGCTCTTAAAGTTGCAGTCACCGACTCGGAATTTCGGTAGTAAATTTTAATTACTTATTAGCGTTGTTCGTTCGTGTACTTCAGCAAGATGAAAATGTTTTCTTTACTGAATGTTTTGACACTGACAGTTCGGTAATTGATTTAAAGGTGCGTTCACGGTGAAAGTTCAAAGATGTCAAGTCCCTATTTGAAAACCCGATAGTTTTGATCTAGTAATTTTATTTCTCATTTTAGTTATGTAATCTTCTTTGGTGAGTCTAGACATGTTTTACTCAGCATTTGCTCAAGATAATGTTATATCACAGGAGTATTTACAATCCTCGTTTATTTGGCATTAGTCAGCCATGACTTCAGCAAATATTTAATTAACAATGTAACAGGTCGCGACTAACTGTGATTATCCGTCAGCAGAGTCTGGAAGATTTATACCTAGACACTCCATAGAATTGCTAAGATCACAGTTATAACCAATAAAACTCCATATTGAGCAATGTAGCAAGTTATCTTCCATTTAAAGATCCATGGAAATCACAGCGGGAGGTTTAAAATGTTGAAATGGCTTGAAGAAGCTAAACTGCAAATTAACGCTAACATTCTTTGACAAAATTTCTAATACCAAGAAAACGTTATCTAAACAAACAAGGCAGAAAATCTTATTAACAAATAGAGATGTACGAAAAACAGTCCAAGACAGAATTATTCCGAAGCTCTTAAAAATGACGTAATGCATCGTTTTTAGAGGAAAAGAACAGAGACAAAGTTTCAATGATTTTCATTCAAAATATTATAAATACGTTTAACTAATTGCAGTCTATACAGGCATTATACGTGATTGATACTAGTACAGGATAATGTAGATCCGTTTTACTAGAAAACCACAAACGGATTTAGAAAAACGTTACTGATTAATTGAATTATAATTTTCACATATTGGAATAACCTCAAATTGCTCTTGACACAATTACCATTTTTTTTTAATTTGTTTTTAGCTTCTGATGATGGCAGCAGAGACTGTCGAAAGCTTGAGTTGTAAGTTAAAAGAGTACACTTTGCATAATTTGGCGATTTGCCCAAAGACGAGTCTTCCATTAACTGGTTATTTTCGACAATAACTACGAATCGTATATATACAACTCACTCTGTATAGGTACCAGGTAAAACCTAGCCTCGAGTACTCTTCACGCATTTGAAGTGCAGGAGGAATGTCTGACTGATCGATGACTTCTTTCTAACGGACAGGCTGGGGACACAAGGACGGCTTCTACTGCTATGTCAGAGCACTCCTCTATGATGCCGCCGCGCGATGTGCCTGCCAGATGGACCAGCCTGATCGGCCTCCCATCCTAACTGTGTCGAACTTCGTACATCCAGAACTGGCAGACACGACCGCTCCTTTATCCCGAGGGTGTCGAGATTGTGAAATATTCTACGTAGTGAGGATTTTCCCAATCCCACTCAATTTCTCCTCATCGCAAGCGCAATGCCATGGTATTCAGGCTTCTGCCTACGTGGCTGCTTGAGTGTCATAAAAAAACTTATCGCATTGTCAGTCCCGCAAAATTATAGATAAAGTGTGAACGCAGTAGAAAAATTAAGCAATTTTTAACTGCAGCAGTTTCTGGGGGTAGCAAAGCAGATTGGAGAAAAATCAATCAACTAGCCATAATTCGATTACCGTGCAGTATCTGGCAAGGACAAACGACGATATTTCCAGCAGAAAACTTTTAAGGCGTATCAATTTTCCCCTCGCAATCTTTTTCTCCTAGGGATTGAGATGCGCTAGTCTTTGATAAACCCGGTGTAGATTTCGCAACAAAGCAGCTGGAATAGTCCGATAAAGTTGACCGAAAACGGTTTTGACCAGTCTTGTGTGTACTAATTCGACTCGAGGTCACCAAACTACCAAGTAGAAGAGTATGGGAATTAAAAAATCCTATGAATTCATATTCATGTTCTACGCAGATCAAAATATCTCACAATCACAAACTTTTTTTCATTAGTTCATGAAATATTATGTTCAGCACAACTTAGCCCATCTGAGAAAAAAAAATTAAATCCGATAATGTATAACAGTCATTCAAATAAGCCCATACAATCAGCTCCCAGTACCCACCCATTTGACAGCTCTGCGATCTGAGAGTTTCTCCTCTGCCTTACTGACAGTGTCAACCATCTGGCAACGTTGCGATGACTAAAATGTCGGCGGAAATCTTTGTGTGAAATATGTCTATTGATTTTATATATATTATATAACAGGTCCACAGAATAACAGGGGTTGGAAACGTTTAAATAAACTTACGCCAAAAAATTGAGATACACGCCCTACAAGCCCTCAAAAAAGTTTCCAAAAATGAGTTTTGAGTCATTGAAATGCCAAAAAACGAAGTTTAAGTAGTTTTTACTTTTTTATTTTTTGCTTGTAGCTCTGCCGCCACTGTGTGGATTTTCAAAAACTTGCGTCCTTGGCGTAATATACTAAGTGACATATAAATCCGAATACCCAGTTTAAATGGTTTTATTTTAATAAAATTTTGTATAAGTACTTAATGAAGCATAAGTAAATGATAAAAATTTCAAAATGATTGCACTGCTTTAAAGCCCTTTGACCTTTAATAACGTGTGGATGCACCCTGATGTGCTACGCATTCTCCAACGCGCCTAGGCATGCTTCTGATCAGGTGGTCAATGTCCTCCTGTGGTATCTCATTCCAGGCAACCACCAACTCCTCTCGAAGTGCTTCTAGAGTCTGAGGAGGACGTTGCAAATTGAGCAATCTCCTACCCGTCATATCCCACACGTGCTCAATTGGGGATAAGTCGGGAGATCTTGGTGGCCATGGTAACAATGTGACATCATTATGTTGAAAGAAGTCTATTGTGACTCTTGCAACATGTGGTCGGGCATTATCTTGTTGGAAAGTTGGATCTGCCAGGGTGTCAAGATAGGGTAAAAGATGGGGTTCTGGATATAACGCTGCGCGTTCATGTTACCTCTGATGAAGATTAAAGGTGACCTGGAACCATAAGCTATAGCACCCCAAACCATAACTCCAACACTGTGATGAACATGTCTTTCAACAAAACACTGTGGATTCCTCCTTTCACCACGTCGCCTTCTAACCCTGGCACGACCATCGTGCATGCCTAAACTAAATCGAGACTCGTCACTGAAGACAATACTGTTCCATTCCTGATCCCAGAGTGACCGTTGTCTGCACCACTCAAGGCGATTACGTCGGTGTTCCCGAGTTAAAGGGAGGACCCAGTGTGGCCGGTATGAAAACAAGCCAAAACTTCTCATTCGTCGGTAAACACTTCGCATGCCAATAGGTCTTCCGTGTTCTGCAAACCATTCATTTGCAATGGACCTGGTAGTGGAGAAACGGTCCCTTAAGGCCAATAATCTTAGGCGGCGATCTTCACGGTCTGTTGTTCTACGGCGGCGTCCAGTGCCCTTGCTCTTTGCGTACGGCCTTCTCGAAGCCATGCCTGACAACACTTCTTTGCACTCTAAGTGCAATTGCCCGAAAAGAAAGTCCAGCTTCCCGAAGTCCCGCTATACGGCCCCTATCAAACTCACTAAGTTGACGTACAGGTCTCCGTACTCTAGGCATCGTAACCGATCGTAAAGGATGTCAAGAACCAAAATCCGCCAACGTTGATTCTTTACTGCGACTGAAATATTCATTTTCAGAGCGTTAGTGAATTAAAAAAAAGCAGTATAAAAACCGGAATGTCCAACTGATAAGGCTGAAAATTTTTTCACTTGTTATTTACAGTAAGATAAATACATTCACAACTTTTATTAAAATAAAACCATTTAAACTGGGTGTTCGGATTTATATGTCACTTAGTATATTACATATTACTTAATAACTGAAAATGGTCGAAATTCGAAAAAACCAATTCGCATTTTTAAATGATATACTAGTCCACAAAAGTAAGCAGAACATAATTGATTTTCTGAAACCAACTTACCGATTTCTGCGCCAATTGCAGTCTCTTGAGTTATACTGAGGATTATGGCGTTTGTGGATACACCACATACTGAACTTGACGAAAAATTAGTCGATCTGAGTAGTATGTGAAATATATATGTATGTATATTTGGGTAATACTGGATCCTTTGTTCAGAACCACAAAAAAGTACAGGACTCACTTGCTTCACCACTTTTTTACACTAGACATGTATTTTACTATGTTAACATCTTCATAGGAAGTTGAAAACTGCCCAGTCTATCGATTGAATAGTTTCTAAAGCCAAGAGGATATTACTAACAACAGTTATTGGGAAGGATGATTGTAGAGCACTCCTCCCATGAATCATTTTCTATCTACACTGAATCTCTGGTAAATCCTATTGTGAAACAATTATAAAGCGACAATCGAATGTTTAATAATTATTGTTTACCTAGAATTGGACACGTAAAAGGTAATTATGATAAATTCCATACCAACTTCCTCAGGTAGATAATAGTAGTATTGAGTAGTACTCATGACTCATTAATTTAAATATAGCACAGGAAACGCTGAACTTTCTTGGAGACCTATGTGGAAAGCACATTGAATATTTATAGAATATTAGAATTACAGGAGGCAAAAATTTTCCATTCGTGGGAGACATTTTCTCACTTGCTCTTTTTCATCATAATGTTGATTTACATGAATCAAGAAGCCAATTTTAGAGAAAAAATACTTAGGATCTTTTCTGTACAGATTAATCTAAAAAACCGAAGAAAACTCTGACCTGATCGAAAGAAGATTTTTGTAATCTATTTAAATTGAGTTTTTCAAACAAATGTGCAGTGAATTACCCAGATTATCGACCGATAACCGCTTGATTGATGTTGAAGGGTATCTAACAAACGAATTGGAAACTCTTACTAATGTCAGATTTTCGTCTCGCCCGAGTAATGCTCATAGCTCTTTAATTTAAATATAGCAGAAACTACTGAGCTGTCATGGAAAACCCCGTGGAAGGCACATAATTTTATGGAATTTTACAATAAAATAAACGTGCACGTGTTTTGAACAGACATTACCGCGTTTCTTATACTTTTTAAATCAAAATAAGCTTTCACACGCCTTGGGCATATTTCGGAACGCGTAGTAAATGTTGAATGTAACGTTTCAATTAATTTTAATACAATACAAACAGAAGCCGAAGACAGGTAGATCAATTTAATAAAGAGAAACTTTATGTATGGTACTTTGGATATCAAAATCGCCATGTTTACACCGTGGATAGCTAACCATAGTGCTAATAGATGGCGCAACACTAGTTCATGTTTAACATTGTGCACTGTACGCTATACAAGTGTTCAGAGCAGGACATCACTCTGATCGTGAAGATTTTCAAATTGAGGATATTCTTTTGTCAATGTTCATCCTGAAATCCATATCCGTTGATTTATTTTTATCACCGCGTAACCTCGGCAACCGTAGCATTGGGTGAAGCTGAAAATGAAGTTAAGTTCACTTTGATTCATTTCTTAATAGCTAAACTAAAGCGCGCGCCTTTTTTTTTAAGCTAGATGATTAAAAAGTTTTGGTTTTCAATATATCTATGCTAGAGAATGAAATTTCTTCACAGACATTAGGGTAAGATACTTTTTGAGGTTACAAAAGTTGATTTTATTTTGTTCGATGTGGTTCATGATCAAACGCATCTAGTATGGGTCCAAAAAATTCAAAAGGGATGTTCTGTTTTCTAAGAAAATGTAGTTGAATTACTTCTGGACACGACATATAACTCACTGACAGTCCACAGAGCCTCCGTAGACCTCAGATTGAGTTACAGTTACACACAGTAATGAAATGAGATATTTGGGGAATTGTAAATCAACGTTGTATAAATCATTTGTGCTAATTGTCTTACCAACATTCAATAAAATGCTTGACAGACGTACATTTCACGTCTCTCGTAATATTTCCATGTGAAGGTGATATTAAAAAGCGAGTTCAAAGATTTAATTGATATGTCTAAGTAATGATCGTTTTAAAGTGGAGAGTAAAATGAACAATAGGAATATGAGCATAATAAAAATTATGTGTGGGATTATATGTTATACCCGCGAGCAAAATGCATCTTGGGTGGCAACGAGAATAAAAGTTCATTTTGTCTTCTACGTTTTAAGCGAAATTACAACTTGAATTTTGCAAGTACTGTGTCTTCCGTTTTGTCAGCGTCTGTAGGTAAGATTGATTTCACAACTTCTGAAGTGGTCCTGATAAGTGACCCAAGAAGCATTAGGTAATAAAGACAACCGATAGGCCCATCGTTTCTTTTCCTCAGCTTCTATCATGTAATATTTCAATAAAAGCTTCTACAGATGTCCATCAATATCCAAGCAGATCGCTTCAACATCATTCTATTCAAAGCTCATTACAATAAACCCGTTTCGGATCTGTATATGTGGAAGCAGATACAGTCAACGGAACCGATTCCGATATCGTATGAGATAATCGTTACAAGATTTTATGATTCCACTTCAGATCTCGGCACTTTTTATCGGAATTCGGTTCGTATAAAACCGAGAGTCACATATGTTCAGAATCGTGGAAGTAGACTTTCCAAATGAAGCAAATGCGTATCATTTCGCGAACGTTCTTAGATCGTATTTTCTGTATTACCGTACCTTTCAAGTAAAGCCGATAATCTCCTAGGAAAAACTGAAAGGCATCACAACGAGCTGCACACTCTTGTAACGTAACTGTCAGATTGCAATAATTTATTTTCTTTGTCAAATTGCGATTTGTACAAAATGTATACTGCGAACCTGCTTTCAGAGGCTTGCACTAGGTATGTGCGTTGCGATGCCGATCCTATCGATTGGTCTGATATAATCCATGAAGCACTGAATCTGTATACATTGTTGTTATTGCTCAGGAAAGCAGCTAAAAGTGATCCTTAAACGGAATCATATATTTCTTCCGTAACAGCTTGTTCCAAAAGTATACTCCATGTAGTACCCTACGAGCCTGCAACCTACAAAACATGTTTGCGAAGTGCGGGTTGCAGCAGTTTAGGCAAATATCGGCAAGATGGTAGTTGCGCTATTCCTTTACAGGTGGCGTTTAGGAGTACCTGCGAATTCTGTTATTGCAAAACTGTCAGATTTCCAGTTTTTACATGATGTGAAAATGTTAAATCAGTGTGGCCCCCATTTAAACATTGTGATACTCGAATTGAATACGTATCTATAGCAGAATTTGGATTTTGGTTATTGGAAACTCACCAGGATTGGGTAAACTCAGGCCATTAACCAATATCTAGCACCTCACTTAATTTTTTATTGCTATTAGAGTGATGACATTCTAAGACTACATCGCGGTTTATAATATTTTAATAACCTGACGTTATTTATTATAAGTTGTTTTAACGATTCTGAGGATCAATGTCGATGATTTATTATGAGCTTCGGATCGTTTGGAAAAATATTTATTTGGTTTCTTCAATCCGGCTCGAAGGACCACGTCTTAGTAAGGCGTCTTTATATACAGTTTGTGCGATTTTCTTCCTAATGCAAAGTTATACGCCCGGTTATGCCATAGCCACGCTTGATATCTTGTCTATGTTGCTAAAAAAATATTTTCGTTTGTTTAATCTTACCATTCAATGTCAACTTTTCTTACGATATTGTCTTGAAATAGCATAAAAACCTTTGGTCGGCGCGTCCTTTGTAATTTCATGACGTATCATAGGCGTGCGGTCATTTATTTAGAACGATAATAATAATGTTTTTATATCACAATAAATGGATTTTACTATCTTCTTATTTTTATAAAAAGGTATATAAAGACTTACATTATAGGTATTTATATATCATCCTCGCCTTCGGAGCTGTCGCTAGAGTCATCTTGTAGAGGAATTACAATGGGATTTACAGGAGGCAAAACACAATATTCATTTTCCTTTTCAATAATATGCCTAGAACACTGCTTCCATAGGTCTGTGGCAGCAATATGAGATACTGCATCTCTTATTGTGGCCAATAGCGATTCACTTAATTGAGGGGTCTGATTATGTTTTCTTACTTTTTTTTTAAAGCAGCCCAGACCAACTCAATCGGGTTAAAAATGCAGTAATAGGGAGGTAGACGTAATACTTCATGGCCATTTTGCTGAAGCAGATTGTCAACAAGATACTCTTTTTCAAATTTTTGTCTTTTAATAAGATCCAATAATATGGCTTTGGTTGATTTTTGTGGTATTTCCATTCCCTTATCCTTCATAAAATCAATAATGTCTTGTTTTTGTGCCTGTATTCGGAATTTTGTTTTTCTGTCGGGAATGGTATGGCGCATTGTCCATAATAATCACTGAATTTGGGGAAATGTTTGGTATTAACTGCTGCTCTATCCACTTTTCAAATAAGTCGGAGGTCATGTCCTCATGATAGTCGGCACATGATTCTTTGATATTTTTGGCAGATAACAGCAAGGCATTAGGTATAAATTCATTTTCACTGCCAGCATGGAAAATAATGATTCGTTTTCCACGGTTGCATGGTGCATTTAAAATGCACTTGTTGCTGTCGTCAACCCAGCCGTACTGCACAACATCATGGGTATCATACCACGTTTCATCCAGGTAAATCAGATTTCTTTTCTGCTCTCTATAGATTTTAACTTTGTGCAAAAATTCTTGGCGCAATTCAACGATTCGAGACGACTCCATAATCACCATTCTTTTATCTAATTTTTTGTATTGAAAACCACACAGTTTTACAATACAGTGCAGTGAGTCTAAGCATTTGTAATTATAAAAATCTTCAGGATAATCTTTTAATTTATCCCGTATCATTTCCAACGTGGGCACCAAATTTTCTTTATAAAATCCGTATATTATACGACAAATATCTTCCTGAAAACCAACGTCTATTCTTTTTAATTTTTGCCCTATGCGCTTTCTGTGGAAGGAATGGTTGACTACATCTCCCCTTTTTATAACCCGATAAATGGTAGACCGACTGATTTTTGTCAGGATACAAATTCTGTTCAAAATTTGATTTTGCGAGGAATCTGGATTTTCGTTTTTCAGACATATTTAGGATTACTCTTTTGGTCTGTTCCTCTAAATCTTTATGAAA